AGAAATATGAATGCAAAGATAAACATGATTGTAAATGCGAAATTTATTGTAAACTTTTTATATGCATTTACAAATACGATAGCATAAAAATAAAATAAAATAAAAGCCTGATGTGGATGAAGCTTATTCGAAAACTTTATTACACGTATTTTTCAGTTATATTTGCTATTTAGAAAACTCATCAGTTGCTATATTTTAGAATTTATCCTGACATGTAACAAATGATATTATCTATCCTAATCGATTTTTGGGCGTTTTGAACCATTTACAACTTGCGCTTGTAACACCCGCGCAATACAGCAAAGCACTTCTTTTGCGTAATCATAGTTCATAATTTCGATGGTCGATGTAAGTCCAGAATTGTATTCTGCAGTAATTTCGACTTTTAGAGATTTTAGTGGACCAGACACACGGATAAATCGCCAAATGGTTCCTGATGTTACGATTCCAAATATTACTTCAGGATAATTATCCAAACCTGTTTGATCGAATTTTCGCTTGTTTCCTAATATTTCTTGGTTTTTCTGAACGTGGGAAGACGAATTTACATAATTTTTAGTATTATAGGTTGAGGATCTTTACTCCTGCCAACTTACAAAAATTAGAATAAATGCATTACTTCAACTGCACTGTAGATCTGCGCCAAGTTTTGGGTGATACCTTTTTCCATATCCATCACTTTAGCTTCAGTTACTAAGGCAAGAATGTATCGTATAAAAATTGCATAATCAAAACTACCATATCCGTGGCTTCCATTAACTTCTATTTTTACAGCCAATCGAGCCGTATTATCAATATGCTTTCTGATATGGTTGACTGCCCAGGTCAAAAATATTGATATATACTCGCGACATGTAGCTTCATTAGAGGAAATCACTTGAAATGCATATAATTTTCTCTTGAGGTCGTCGAAAAAGCATTGTAATTCTTCATTACTAAAATGCGCGGATAACTCAGGAAGATCTTCTATTCTGAATTTATCTATCATTTCACTAGACTCGAATGCATGATCGTAAATCCTGGAGATCTCTTTCATTTTCCAATCACCGTATGGCTTTTGATCTTTGACTTGAACTTTAAAGTAGTTGATAATAAGTTCATTTTTGTCATTTCGCTTTATTTTATTCACTAGTGAATTAAAATGAAACTCATTCCTGACTTGTTCTTTAAGAATCTTATCTTCATAATATTCAAAATAAAGATTTTTCGTTGGTATATTTTCTAACTTTTCGTTGAACTCTGTCTTGACACATTCTCGTAATAAGCTAAAAGAACCACTAGAATGTGGAATGCAACACTCGCCCTTATTTACACCCTTATTTGCGGTAAACCTGCAGTTCACTTTAACTGCGGAGAAAGCAAATGAGTGCTATACATTATAGGAAATGTGAAAAGACATTTTTTACTTACTGCTCAAGTCGGACAATGGGTAACGAACAAGTAGTTCTGTTGAATTTGTGATACTCAAAGATTCAAGCGTAGTCTTCGGGGAAAGAACTTGGGGGTTACCGGGATCGGAAAGTGTGAATACCTGAAACTTTCCCTCACTAATATTCGCAAGTTCATCAAACCTTCTACAGAGAAGCGTCTTAAGATCGTGCACGGTTGGGTTGTCTGGATAATCATTTTTATTAACAGTGAACTTCTCGAAATCTGGATTTCCCTCAAGTTTTACCCACATTGTTATTACGGAGTTTGGTGAAGAATTCAGATTTTTGTTTAGGGAACCTGGGCGTTTTTTATCTTCGCTGGACATCTTTTTCAACTGCGGATAATATCAATTTAGGTTAATCCGAATAATCAGGATTTATCAGGATTACTTACATTTACTAAGCTTATCAATATAAGGGAAGCGAGGGTATTATGGCGAATGCGGGTATTATGGCGAATTGAACATATTACAAGAAAACAGGATTTTTTACTAAGCAAATCGAACTTCGTCCACTAAGTAAAGTTATTGAAAATACCATTTTTTAGATACCTTCAAAGTTTGACGCATTCACATTATTCGTATTGATGCAGAAAATTTATCTTCTGCGCCAAAACGTAAAAAATGTAAAAGTCGATTAAAGAAAAGTTAACCAAATCACATCAAAATTTGAAGGTATCTAAAAAATGGTATTTCCTATAACTTTACTTAGTGGACGAAGTTCTATTTGCTTAGTAAAAAATCCTACTTTGTGTAAGACGATTAATACAGAATTATCGGTTATCGTTATAGCATATCGGCCGATTTGTTTTGACCCCAAAATCAGCCAATCATGATCGAGGATTATCAAAAAATTTTCCACGAAAATT